AGCTTCTAATGCCTTAAGTGAATTTCGTGATTCCTCATATGCTTCAAATTACCCTCATGACAAGTTTCTAGCCTTGCATCACAAGTTTTCTCAGTTAATTGCTCACATGATTGAAAATCAATTGTATTGGATAAAAATTCAATTATGGTCAACATACAATCAAAAATTAATATTTTTGGTAAACATAAAGATTTTAAAGTCACGTTCATCATTTGATCAATGGGTGATCATGATTCATCAAGAAAACTCAAGATTCATCAAAAGTCAAAAGTTACCAAATTAGGGTTTTCTTTAGGAGAAGTCAACTGAACTTTGACCAAGCATAACTTTCACATACTTCGTAAGATTTTTCTCAACCATGGCTCATTTTTAAGGAAATTCAATTCTCTACAACTTTGAATCTTTAAGCTCAAGTCCAAAAAATGATTCATTTGAGAGATATGGGCCAAAATATTACAGGTCATTTCAAAAGTCAACAAAAAGACACATTTTGTCAAAGAAATTTACATCAAGATAAAGTCTTCAAATGCAAAAATGGCCAACATGAAAGTTTTAGGGGACATACTGGGCTTTCCAAAAAGTCATGGATCACCTTTATATGATGAAAATTGAGTGAGATATGATTGGTGCAAGTTGGGAAATTTTGAGAAAATGCATGAAACTAAAATTGAGCAAATTTGAATTTTTGGGCTAATGGGCTTATCTTTTAGAGTCCAAACGTGTTGTTGACCTCATAATGAACCTCTAAATCTATTCATACACCCTTTTAATTTTTTATTTCATGTATTTTAATTTTATTCGTTTAAAAGCAAAATAAATCAAATAAGATATCAAATAAATGATACAAGGTGTGGGGATCTATTTTGAATCAAATAATGAATCCAATATCACATAATCATGCTAAAAAATCATGAGGGATCGTGAATATTGGATTTGGCACAATATTGAGCTCAAAAAGATATGTTTCCATTCAAAAAATCAAATCAAATATTTTGTCATGAAATACAAAGATTTGATTCATGTTTGTTGACCTAATTCATGGTCTATAAATAGAGAATACATTTAGACCATCAGGGATCACAGAAAAAACCCTGCAAGAACACACCCTCCAAATCTCAAATTTTTGTCAAGCTAGGGCAAACGTGCAATCCTATTTCCAACCCTTTTCAAAGCAAAGCAACCATCCAAATCGACTCCAGGGACATTACAGAGTAAGTTGGGATCATCCTTGATGATGAAAAGTTCCTGAAACACGCACCTACGCATCACCGGTTTCCATACTTTTGTCAATTTCGTATTTTTATTATTACCATGCTTTGATTCATACTAATGAATCTAATGTGTTCCTGAGATATAATAGCACAGGTCTGAACTTTTGCATGAGTCCTATAATGCCAAAATCGTGTATCACCATGTGTGCACTGATTTTCTCTATTTTCCTTGTATCTCATTATGCATGATGATTTATCCAAAACCAATACCACCATTGAATTTGCAAGGACTAATTTAGGGGGGTAGGGTTCTATTTGATCACTAACATGCTCTATTTTGCAGGTTGAAGAAATTAACTCACCGGAGAAGACGACCAGAGCTAGGGCTTAGGTGCCTCTCTGGTCTATCTGTTTTTGTTTGTTTTATATTTATTTGTTTCCACTACATAACCGGATGAAACAGCCACCCCGGTGGAAAGAACGCGCGTGCTAAGGCTTTGGTCTCTAAGGGTGTGGGTTTGATCCCTGTCTTTTGCAACATTTTTTTGTTATTTTCAATTCGTGCAGGTTTCACATATAACCTTCAGCGCCTGTTTCTTATCACCAACAAGTGCTTGGCCTGGTGGCAAGCTATGCGAGTGTGAAGCTAGAGGGTGTGGGTTCAACACTCACCCCATGCATTTTTTCCTTTATTTTGATTCTCATTGATTTTTCTTCCTCTAACCCTATTTTTTAATTAACCTAAAAAACTAACCTTTTTTAATACTAATTAATTAGGTTTAGGTTTTATAATTGACAATTAATTTTCCTTTTTTATTAATTAATTGATTAACCCTTTTTTTAATTTTAAAATTAATTATAATTTTAGGTTTTTTTTATCACCTTAAAATTATTTTTCATACAAAATCACAAAAACATTTTTACATTCAATTTTCTATTTTCTTTTCTTATTTATATTTTCCTAGATCTAGTGTATAGGAGGCTTCCTTTAATGTAATTAGCTTAGATTTACTTTTCTCGCATTTTTCCTATTATGTATATGCTCCCAAGATGTAATAGTTTTAGGGTTTACTTTCCCGCATTTTTATACTTATGTAACTGCTCTGAAGTCATGTAATAGCTTAGGTTTACATTCCGCATTTTAACTTTTGCTCTTGTATTTTATTCAACTGCTAGTAACTAGGGTTTGTATGGTAAGACTAAAATCAATCATAGAAAACCCTAATACTCAAGATTAACATAACTGAATCAAACACACTTTACACACTTGCACCTCTAGGGTAACCTCTCTTTGTTGCCTTCAAATAAATGGTCATGTCCCTCGAAATTAGGGGTACTTTAGTAAAAGACCCTTGAATAAAGATCATAGTCCTTCAATGACCCTTCGATGTTTCCTACGAAAAATGATCTAGTCCCTCCGATACAATTGCTAAAGTATCTCTACTTGTTGTCTTCGATGACCATACGATGACCCTACGCATGTCCCTTCAAGTCCAATAGATAGGGCTACCTACCAACTAATGGTATGCATAGTACTATCTCTAAAGGAGAAGGAAAATAATAAGAACGACCTTGAGTGGGTAAGGAAATCTTAATTGCTTGCTCACAACTTTTCTCAAAACTTTTTCACACTACACTTTCAAACAAATATTTTCAAAAAATAACACTTTGTATACATTCTTGAGGACTGATACAAGAACCATTATAAAGTCATCCTTACATTGGCGATTTCAAAATATTTTCAAATAAATCACACACACAAAGCAAGATTTTCAAAAGTGAGCTAAGTAATTAAGAGTCCGTAGATAACTATGGATGAAAAGGGTGCTAACACCTTCTCTTATCATATCTTACCCCCCCCCCCAAACTCAAAATCTATCAAGGTCTTTCCTGTTCTTTTCACCCTTTCCTTATTGGATAAAAGAAAAGTCGGTAGCAACTCTAGCTTTTCGCACATTTTGGATTTAAAAAAGTCAGTTCTCCCACCGTATTACAGGATCCATAATGAATCTTAAGGGACTCCCTAATGCAAGAAAAATTTCAACATTCTCAAGAGGTTTTTATCATCACCTCCGGTCATGACCAGACCAACCCTATGAGCTAAGTTAACACTTTACTTAACTGAAGAGGTCATTAGTTCAGTGCTAATTGAATAATAAGAAGTACAATACCTAGTATAATTTTCCAACAAGGTATTACAAGGAAACAATGTGTGATATTAAAAGTTGGAAAAGTTGGCTATCCTTAGTCATTTTAGCTCACAGAATTAGAATCTAATATTAATCGCATCCTATATGTTGGGTGAGAATAAGAAAAATAAACATTCTAGAAGGGGTGAATATACCTCCCAAGTTAAAAATGCCTTTGAAAAATAGTTAGAAAAACTTTTATCACAATTTCTAAAACAAACATGATTTTGCATGGCGGAAGCAAATTTAGCGTAAAAGAGATTATGCTTATCGATTGGAGTTGACACAAAGATACTTAAAAACCTCCCAACATAATCTAGATGGACAATCAAATTAAACCAAATGAACAAAATACAATCAATGTATTGAATAATTGATCAACTAAGCGAGTAGTGTTATGTTACAATCACCAATACAAAGATTCTACAACCATATTTTTCACGTTTAATTGACAATAAGATAAATTTGAATTACCAATTCTAACCAAATGTACACCTTTAAAATTAATCTCTACCAAAATAATTTCTAATGACATGCAATTCTAGAAAGCAATAAAGAACAACTTAATCATGCAATTAACTATAAAATTAAAATGAGAGAGAGGAAGGGAGAAGATATTACCTTGGGATTTATAGTGGTTTGTCATGTTCGTCCTTGCCTTGTGCTTAATCCACTATATAATGGTTTTCCATTGGAAATTCATTGGTCTTCCAATATGATTTGTAACAAAATTACAAGAGTTTGTACGGTCACAGTATCCAAAATAAATGCTGAAAAATAAATTTCTTCTTCTAGATCTTTGACTTGTACACAATCTACGAATTGGACTCTATAAAAAATCTTGGCAAAATCACCCCCAGGGTCCTTTAAGTTATTTAATTGTAACAAGTTGGTCCTTTATGTTTTTTTTCCTATAAGTAGGTCCTTTATGTTACGTAACGTCTTCAGCGTTGCCCTTATTCATAGATTTCATTCCAAAAAGGAAGATGTGTCACAAACGTTGTTGAGGTGATTGTTAACTGTGTTGACTGTGTATTTCTCTTATATTAGAAAAGTTGAAACATTAGAATAAATCCAAAATTAAATTATTCATCCCAAATCAGTGAACGCAGTCACAGTTAGAGGAGAAGGCTACACAGAAGTAGTGAACATTGAGGGAGAAGATAGTTGGAAACAACAACGTCATTGAAGTTGATGAAATCTCGACGCTGAGTTACGTTTCTCATTTTATAAAGTAATTGCTAATAGTAGAAATGTTAGTGTTTGTCTTAGGGTTTGATGCTCATTAGGTTGTTGGGATTATTTGTTGCCGATGTAAATAGATCAAAATGGATATGGATGCATTTTATGTTGATTTCCATCATGGGGGATTTTTTGTTGGTGATAAGTATGAACAAGGGGAAGTGTCAAACTTGAAGTGTGATGGTGATAGATGGAGTTACTTTCAGATTTTGGGGGTTGTTAATGAGATGAAGTATCCAGGGGTTCTTGAAATTTGGTACAACTTTGTTGGAACATGGAAGGCGCCAGAAGATGATTTTGGGGCTATATAAGCGTTGAATTGGTCCAAGACAAATGGAAAGGTTGATGTATACATTGTTCACCCTATTTCCCAACCTGATATAGAAGTTACCCTACCTGAAGCCCAACCTAAAGTAGTATCAAATGAACCAACTGGAGCCCAACCTGAAGTAGTTTCAAATGAACCAACTGAAGCCCACCCTGAAGTAGTTTCAAATGAATCAAATGAAGCCCGCCCTGAAGTAGTTTCAAATGAACCAACTGAGGCCTAACCTGCAGTAGTCTCAAATGAACTTACTCAGACCCAACCTGGGGATGTTATTGAGCAAAAACTTGATAGTGATGACAGTGTTTTAGGACTCACATTTTATAACTCAGATGATAAATGGTGGATTTTATGAAGTGTTGGTAGGAGAATGAGGGTTCATTGCTGGCCAAAATGATCAACCTGGTGATGAACTCCTACCAGATGAAACACCTAAAAAAAGAAAGAGGAGTAATGGAAGATCTGAGAGAAAAAGGGTGGGAATGGAACTCTAAAAAAAGGCATCAGATAGTTCCAAGAAACAAAAGGGATGACCTTTTAAAAAAAGGGTGGATGAAGGAAGTTCAATTACAATTGGTGATGAAACATCAAGTGAGGAAGATGTTATTGATTTTGGGTTTAGACAAAAGAGTACAGGTAAAAAGGTATGTCGTGGTTTGTCAGATTCTGACTATCAAACTGAAGAGCTAGAAAGTGAGGATGATATGAGTAGTGATTATTCAGATGAGGGTGGGAAGGTAAATCATCCATCATGTGTTATGCCTAAGAATTTTAATGACTATAAGTGGGTATTGGGAAGCTTATTTTCAACAAATGAGGATCTCAAGGAATCTATTACAAGTAATGATGTTCATAATGGTAAGGATTTAATATTTCTGAAGAGTGACAAGACTAGGGTTAGAGTGGGCTGCAAGGAAGGGTGTGTATGGGTGGCTTTATGTTCTAAGTTGACTAATGAGGATACTTGGAAATTAAGAACATTGAATGATAATCACACGTGTAATAGAGAGTATAACGTTAGAATGTTTAGTACTAAGTGGCTAGGGAAGAAATTATACCCAACAGTTAGAATTAACCTCAATGTGAAACTGACTACTATATGTGAAAAAATACATGAGAAATGGAATGCTGAAATGAATAGGATCAAAGCTTACATGGAAAGAAAGGCAGCACTAGATATTGTTGAAGTGTCATTCAAAGAACAATATTATAGACTTTATGACTATACACATGAGCTATTAAGGTCTAACCCAAACAACACCATCAAGATGAATGTCCAAGCAACTGAACAACATCCTACTAAAATTGAACAACAACCTAAAGATTATGTTAGCAGACCATTACTACCAAGTTTATATAGAATTTATATGTGCCTTGATGCTTGCAAGAAAAGTTTTCATGTTTGTAGACCAATAATAGGAATTGATGGATGTTTTCTCAAGGGAAATTATGGAGGTCAGATTCTTGCAGCAGTTGGTAGAGACCTTAATGATCAAATGTTGCCCATTGCATTGGTTGTAGTTGAAGCTGAGACTAAGGGTTCGTGGGCATGGTTATTTTATATTCTTGTTCATAACTTGGGAGGACCAGAAATCTGCAAGAATATTACTTTCATTTCATATCAGCAGAAGGTAACATTCATGTCCTTCACCATTTTAATTTGTAACAAGTAGGTCCTTTATGTTTTTAAAATGAAACATATGTGACATTCATGATTTTAAATTGTATCACAAATTGTTTATTACATGATTAGGGATTGTTAACTATAATAGAGGAGTTGTTACCTGGAGTTGACCAGATATTTTATGTTAGACATTTGTATAGAAACTTCATAAAAAGGTTTCTAAGCAAGCAGTTGAAGGAATTAATGTGGAGGGAAGCCAAAGCAACCAATACCAAGCATGGGAAAGGTAAATGAAGTATATTAGAAAGGTTAATAAGGAGGCATACAAACACTTGTTAAAGATTCCCCCTAGATACTGGAGTAAGTCTATGTTTAAGTATAGTACAAAAAGTGATGTGTTGGTGAACAATATGTCTGAAACTTTTAATAGTGTTATAATTGGACCAAGACTAGAGCCAATTGTAACAATGTTAGAGCAGATTAGAGGGAACCTCATGGACATATGGGCAACTAATAGAGCCAAGATTGAAGATTATAGTGATTTTGTACTTCTAATAATTAAGAAGGTGCTTGAAAGAAGGCAAGAAATCTCAAGATTCTTTGTAGCAAGGTAATTCAACATTATTTTACAGTACATCAAAGTAATTCAATGTTGTTCATCAGTAACAATAGTAACTGAATGTAGTTCATTTGTTTTTTATGTTATCAGGTGACATGATTTATGAAGTAAGGCATACAAGTGTGACTGGACAGAAATTCACAATTGATCTCAAGAAGTTTGAGTGCTCTTACAGGAGTTGGATGCTTATTGGAATTCTATGCTACCATGTAATTTCTTGAATCCGGAGTAGATCTGAAGACCCATCTGATTACATTCCTTCCTATTATAGGAAGGTTAATTTACAGGCTTGCTATAAACCATTGATATATCCAACAAATGGGGAAAACTTGTGGGAATTGACACCATATCCTGACATTCTTCCACCCCTATCCAGAAGGGCATCTTCCAAAAAGAAGAAGAAACAAAGATGCTAATGAAAAGAGAAAGGATACAACAAATGTTTCTAGAAAGGGGTTGACAAATAAAAGCTCAACATGTGGTCTTTCTGGACATAACAAATCATCATGTTCTTCTGCATCAAGACAGTCTAAAACTGCCACCACTGTCCAATCCCAAACTCCCACCACTTCAGTCCCAACTATCCAATCCAAAACTCCCACCACTGCAGTCCCCATTGTTCAATCTCATTCAAGTCAGAGAGTTCAAATTAGACAATCCCAAAATGCCACCATCCAATCCCAACCAACCCAAAGAGTTCAAACCAGGAAATCCAAAAATACCACCATCCAATCCCAACCATCCCAAAGAGTTCAACCCGGGAAATTAGTAGTAACCCAAAATCAAGGAATACGGACATGATGATCTATCACAGTTGCTCAGCTACTTGCCACGAGAAGGGATAGATAGGGACTAGCAGCAGCATTTCAGCCACCAACAAGTCAGAGACCAAAGATGTCTTATAAGATAAAAATTCAAATAGAATGTTATCAATGTAGTCTATTTTTTGGATCCTAACTATGTATTTTGAGAATCTTTTTTATCAATGTATTTTTAGAATGTTTAGGATCTTCTCTAATGTATTTTGGGATATGCTATAACAATGTCATGTTTGCCATTACAATGTTTTGGTTTATGTTATAACAATGCTTTGAATGATATAGCATTTTATTAGTTTGTGCCAAAATTCAGTTATGACTCTACAATTTACTGGTTTATGCAAAAATTCTATCATGATTCTGCAGTTTTTTGGTTTGTGTAAATTCACTAATACAATCAAGGCATTTTAAGGTTCAAAATAATGTAAAAAAACATATTAGTTATGTTTTAAATTGTAACAAACAGGTCCTCCTTCCTTTTAAATTGTAACAAACAGGTCCTTCAAGATTTATTAATTGTACATAGTAGTAACTTGTTGTAACAAAAATGGAATACATATGCAACACAAATTAAACAAAAATGTTTAATCTCCAATTATCATCAAATTTTACATCAAAGTACCAAAAGTTATGTGTTACAATAATAACATCAACATTAACTAAGATCACCATTTTTTAAACAACATACAAATCAACGCTACAACAATCAAAACTAAACATATTATGACATAAAATACCATCTTAAACATCTTAAATAGGTTATTCATCATATCCTTATTGTAGTTGTCATCCCTTCTAAGCATCTTGATTTGTACATTCTTTTCATCACATTTGGAACACTTTGAAAATGCAGTGTATTGTATCTCTGGTTTGCTTTCATCATTGCGTTGGTGTTTGTACCAGAGAAAAAAGTTGCAACCATGATTATCATCTTCACTCTGTTAACAAATTCATTGATAGAAAATCTAGCTCAGACACGGAAAAATGAAATAGCATAGCCAACCTATTCACAACATACGTACCTTAAAGTATCTGCATCCCCAAAATAGTTTCCCCAAATTTATTCCTTTCTTCTTAACTAGTCTTATCATGGATTTGGATCCATATAAACATATTGATTTGATTCTAGAATAGGATGCACTCGAAACTAAGGAATTTGATTTCTCAACTCTTTGATTTATGCCTTTGCTACATAATTGTGCCATTGATGGAGAGCTTGAAAGTTAGGGTTCTCAAATAGGGATGACTATTTAAGCTCTTCATTTTTCTTCAGAAATTAAGGAAATAATAATAGAAATACACAGTCAGCACAGTTAATGAACACCTCAGCAACGTTAGTGACACATCTTCCTTTTTGGAACGGGATCTATGAATAAGGGCAACACTGAAATGTTAAGTAACATAAAGGACCTACTTGTTGCAAAAAAACATAAAGGACCAAATTGTTACAATTAAATAACTTAAAGGACCCTAGGGGTAATTTTTCCAAAAATATTTACTCAAATTCTCTTGAATCTTTCAGTCCCAACAATTTGCTCTTAAGTCTCTGTCTACGACAATTTCCACACAATTTCGTCGGTATCTTGAGTGCTGGTCTATGCGAAGATTGAGAAGAACCCATACCTTCTATTTAGGCTTCCACATAACACTATTCTACTAAGGTCAACCTAGAGAGAACAACATCTTTCTTTTCCACCAAAATTTCCAGAATAAGTCACAACACCACACACCCTTTCAAAACTCTAAAATATTAGACGAATCTTAAAATAAATGTTAAATTCAAAAACAAATTTCCTTAACAATCACAAATATTCAAAGATAATATTCGGATCCATGCAACAATGGAAAAAGAATGAGGTATAAGATGGAAGAAATTGCTTGCAACTGTTCATACAAGATCTAAAACTCATTTGAAAAATGAAAGAACAAGTGGTTTGTGAGTTTTCAAATCAATAGTGGAAGTGTGTGTTTTCTAACATTGTGAATGATTTAAGAGAAAAAATGATTTATAGATGTTAGATATTAAGCATAAAAAGATAGTGAAAATTATGCTTGAATCGAGTTATGAGCATTTGTGTGATTTGTGTCAAAGAGGAGAGTAGTTTTGAGCAAGATCTACACTTTATGAGAAACCCATTTTTCCATGATTCGAATCAAAAGTTGTGATTCGAGTCATACATGGCTTGATTCGAGTCACGAATAAGTGGTCATTTGATTCAAACAAGATTGGGGAAAACCAGTATTCATGATTCCGATCATGAACAAGTTGTGATTCGAGTCACAATGTTCATAATTTCCCTTTATTTGATTGTATTCGACTCATAGGGTTGTGTGATTAGAATCACACACCTAAAATCTCAAAAGTTTTGCAATTTGAAGAACTTTTGAGATTTCACTTATGTCCTAACTTGAACCAATCTTAAATATGGTTCTTGATCCAAAAACTTGACTAATTTACTTAAAGCATATTGCTCATACTCAAACACAAACAATTTAAATTATGCATGCTAAAATATTGATTCAAAACTCGATCCAAAAATGTGCAATTAAAGAGGAGCCTCAATGATATAAAATAAAACCAAAACAAAGATTAATAGACAAGCAATAAAACAATATAGCAGATACATACATAATCTCCTCCTTAATGTATCAGAGACATGCAACTTCGCCATAATAATCAAAATTGTCTTTCACATCAAGAAGATTGTGCAAAATTCCAATTTTTTGGGAAATATAGTAACATAATCAATAGAACTTCATGATACTAAGTAGATTTTGAGATAAAAAAAATCAATCAAATCTCAAGTTATAGTGGGTTTTGGGGCCGAGACGACATACCCATCGTGCACAGACTTGTAGAAACTTTTTATTGTGAGAATTAAGTAATATTAGAGGTAGATGTGTGAGAGTCATTTTGGAAGAACATGTAGGCATAAGTGTACATGAAACCCTAAGGACCATATTTTTATTAAAAAAAACAATTAGGTAGAGTACAAAGCCTAGATATCATTTCCACCACTAGCTTGGGATATGGGAGTGTCACATCTCAAAATCAATTGCAATTACCAATTCATCCCCAATCAAGTCAAAGGAAAATATCAAACTATAGAAGATAATTTAATCAACAAGTTGAAAAAAATTCAAGCCCGTCATGCACAAGTTTATAGAAATTAAATTGAACCATATTCCTTGGGGTAAAAAGACAAAAAGGCGACAGTTTCTAAAATTTTGCATGCATGAAAGCGTATATTAAACAAAAAGTTTATAGTCTTTCATTGATTAAAATTATCTAGCGTCTCAAAAATTGAAGCATGTTCCATCGCCACCAATCCAAAATGGATACATCAACTTAAATATTGTCTCTTTAATGATATATTATTCAATGATAAAGAGATGCCTTATATATGGATATTGTTGGCCAACAATATAAGAAGATTGCAAGGAAACTATGCAGAAATGAGACAAATGCCAAAGGTTTTCCAATAAATCTTATCGGCCACCAAGTTTTTTCAACACTTAGGAGAGAAAAAAATATTGGAGTATTTCATCATGCATCAGACAAGGCCTCATGTACTTGATCATCACTAACAACTTTTCCTAATTTACAAGTCAGAGGTTCCAGTTCTTTTGCAATAACTTTGACATCAAGTTAAAATTTTCCATGGTAAATAGCCCACTAATAAATGTACAAGTTGAATTATCAAATATGATCATTCAAAACAGAATGAAAACAAAATTAAAAAATGTAAAACAAGCATGAATTGAGGAGCTAATTAGAGTATTATATGCATCCAGATTGTGCCCTAATCATTAACACATGAACCACCTTTCAAACTTATCTAAAGATATAATGCTCCGGTAATAGCAAAACTAACATTAACATCATACCAAATAGGCCTAATAGATGAGTCCGCCTCAAATTCATGCCGAAGAACATGTTGAAGGGAAATTGAGGGGAAAAAGTAAACATAACGGGTAAAATTACAAAATTTTCTTTAAATGGATCCTTATGGATGGTCATGGTTATGAAATTTTTGGGTTACCTCTTATAGCGCAAAACCATTGATCTTTGAAAATAAATTGATCATGAGTGTTACACGAACTATGGTGCCTCTACTCAGTCCATACAAACAGAATTTGCAACAAAAGTATTTTGCCTATATTGCTAGTTGTGAATGAGCAAAAGTTTTAGAGAGAGCGTGAACTCGGAATCCTAGTGTGTCTATGGTTTTGAGAATATGTCAATGAGTGAATGTCACTTCAGTATAAGGTTTATATTTATAGAACCATTTATATGCATCGTATTTGATGGTGCATCATGTTCTCTAATTAGCGTCAGTGCATTGTAAGAATGCACCATCGAATCATAAATAAAGTTTATTCATTTATTTAATTTCTGTTTTATTTATCCTTGTGTGTGTGATCCTATAGATTATCTCAACAATGAAAATAATATTAAATTACCTATTTAATTTTATAAGTATAATGGTATCTAGAAACACATCATTTTTATCCAAGAAACAAGAACGTCATTTGATCTAACATAACTTTTATGTTATATAGACTATGTAAAAATATCAACCTTGCATCAAAAAAATTATGCACTTCCAATTCATCCCATAGATATTGTTCAACCTTATTTAAGTTTTAATATTTTCATGGAAAGTTATTTCATTATCAATGTTTGAGTTTCATAACATAGCGTACAAGATATATAGTGTTGATGTTCATGTTCTGATTGGATGTAGAAGGTTTCATGTGGATTGATGTGTTGGCAATATCTTGAGTGTTGTTACTTTATGAATGTACATAAAATATTTTTTTGTGGACAAAACTGAATTACTTTTCCTCTCAAATCTTATGTAAAAGGTTATTTCTTTTATGAAATAAAAATAAAATAAAATAGGAATTTTCCCCCCTAAGTGTCTAAATAAAAAATAAAATAAAACAGGTATTTTTCTTGCAAAAGAATGATGAATGGAAAAAAATTGAAAGGAACATGTATTATTTTCTTTTTTAATTTTTTATCATTCACCAATTTCTTAGTATGTTGCAATATTCAAACAAAGGACTATATTCAAAACAAACTTTTTAAGATTTTGTTTTGTGAAACAACAACATTGCTTACAATATAATATCAGTATGATTAAAAATAAATTTTTTAATATTATCAACGGATAAAAGCAAAAAATTATAGAATATATTCTTTGAACAAAAATATTGGGAAGTTATTCTAAAATATAATAATAGCCTTGCAAGAGGTCAACTACAACAGTAACAATCGTAATGACGAAGACAACAACAATACAAACAACAACAATAACAAAGAAGACGACAACAACAATAACAACGATGATGACGATGATAACAGCAGCAACAATGAAGACGACAACAACAACAACAACAACAACAACAATAACAACAACAACAACAAAGACAACAACAACAAAGACAACAACAACAACAATGATAACAATGATGACAATAACAATAACATCAACAACAACAATAACGACAATAAAAACAATAACAACACTACAATGATGATGATGATAACAATAATATCAGCAACAACATCAACAATGACGACAACAATAAAAACAATAACAACAACAACATAGTGCGAGATAGATATCAAGAACCTAAAAATATTTTTCTCAAGGTTGATGTTAGAAGAACAACAACATAGTACGTTGAAAGATTTATTAACTAATTAAGAAAACTTGAAGATTTTCATGTCTTGAAATTCAGCCCAAATAATGATGTTTATGAGTTTGAAGTGTTTGTTGATGAGTTAGGTTTACGGTACAACTTAATAAACAAATGCTCTTATAGTGAAATTTGAGTATATAACCCCTCGATTATTAATGATATCGGCGAAATAAATCATTTAATTTTTAAATATAAAATAAATTATAAAAAAAAGAAAGGTGTTACTTTTAAAGAAATAATAACATGAACTGCAATTCTTAGGATTCGAAGCATGTCCCTTGAATTAGTTTTTCCCTCGATTATCTACTCAAATGGAGGAAATATATCGGGGTTTTTTTTAAATGTGGCACGTCCTGAAATCTTACCTCGGTTTTTTGTCGGGTGAGGTGAAAGTGTTGTCATAAAATATATTATTTATAGTAGTGTTATTACAAACAACATTTGACGGTATTAAATAATTAAAGAGTGACATACATCATTGTCATTATGAGTG